CCCTATTTTTTGTCTGGGCTTCCAATTTTTCTATTGGAGCATCATATAAATTATTTATAGCAATCTAAATTGATTAAATATAAAATTACAGTCTCATTAAGTACCTATAGGATATTTAGATATTTTCTTATCTGCAGTAGGTAGTCTTTGTAATTTTAAAAATATCTTTATTGTGTTCAATTGCCATGTTTTGTAATATACATATAAATATAGCTCTATGCTCGTTTAGGTATGACACGTTTTATTTTTATTAAATGTTAGTTCTTGTTCGTGATTTTAGATGTGACAATTGTGAGTGCCAGTTTTACTTGTGTCTTATTGTAGTTTTCTTCTAATTGCCTCTTACTCATCTAATTGACTCTCTGTCATCTCATCTCCAAGACATCAGGAGATGAGATGACAGATGCGATCTTACTCTGTCATCATCATAAAGTCATGATAAAATATTCCAAAAACTCTGTAGGTAATCATCGAGGGTAGCTCTATATTGTATCGCCCGCAACTTGCTCTGCAAACTATGTTTTGATTTTAAGGGATAAATATGACAGTGAAAACACGGGGGCAGATCTAGGTATGCAAATTCTAGAGCTAAGTCTAGAATTTGCATAAAATGTAATCATATTGTTACTGTTCAAGTATGTATCAGGCTATAAAATATATAATGACAACCAAATAGGCGGCTGTCAGTTTTTTTGCTGTTTTAAAAAAATATAGTTACAATTAGTCGTCCGTTTCCTTCGATACTAGACTTAATACATTATATACTATATTACGTGCCACATAAAAACTATATTTAAAAATACTTAACAGAGTAATTAAATAACATTCAAATCTTTCGAATTCTAAATTTAAAAATTATGAATAAAAAAATCAAATGAATAAAAAAGTGTTAACGGCACGAAACTTTGAATTTGGAGTGCGGTTAAAAACGGTATTTCCGCAGGGCCGTATTTGAAATTGGAAATTAATATTTCAAATGCATTCCACACAGGCGTCGAAGATCCTTTGAAAATTGCAATGTAACGACTGTTGCCTGTTGGGTTCCTTTGACCAATCAGAATTAATATGATCTACACGGATCAGTCAGTGATCACGGAACAGTCAACAACAAAAGTTCATTGCAACTGGAATATTTTTCAATAGGTAATAAATAGTCACATTTGGATACTGTCCTACTTATAATGAAATGTGGTTAAATAAATAATCCTGAACAATTAACACAACGCCATCTAGTTCCACGGTAAGCAAAGATTGTATTATGGGTACTAGACAAGTATTATAAATACTTGGATGTTTTTTTTGTAAATACATTAATAAATTATAATATAGAAAACACCCAGACCGACACAAACAATCATACTCATGAATACAAATGTTTGTGCCGTGCGAGCAATCAAACCCGCAACCATCGGAATAAAGCAGGGTGCTAAAGCGCTAGACAAAGCCGTCTAATTACTTGTCGACTAAATTAATGTATGTGAGAAAAAAACAAAAATATTTTTTAATCTGTGTCAATGTCGATTAACAAAATTTGTACTTTGTCAAATGCAGTTGGCTTTATGAATATTACAAATAATATTATTAATAACTCGTATAATGTTGCAGCAGTTTAATATACATCTTAGTACTTCAAATCATCGTATTCTTGTAAACAACTAATGAATCATACATATTACATATATACCTATTTCTTCATCTCCTAAGTCACAAATGATATAATTAAAAAGTACTTACTTATATATTGTAATGATTTATTTAAAATTGGAATATGATTTACAAAACCGTTGTTTACGAGTTTTGATATTAGCAATTGTAATACTTATTGTTCTTGTAATAGCGTACATAATAACTTATTTACATATATTAAGATAATATTGACTGGACTCTATGAGCTAAATATTAGGTAGGTATATGAAATATTTTTGCCTACATTTTTACTTTGTAAAACGTTTAAATTTATATCTTATTATTTATATCTTACTATATAAACGCGAAAATTTGTGAATATCCATGAATAGATGTTTATTCATCTTTGACGCAAAAACTATTCAACGGATTATAATGAAACTTTACGATAATAAGGATATACATCAGAATAACTTATAAGTATATATTAATAATGTAAATTGGGCGAAATATTATAATAAATGTCAAGTAAACGTGATGAAGACGAATTTATAAATAGAGTTGTAACCCATATAGTGTAGCTAAGGGATTTTTTTTAATTGTAACAAATATAGTGCAGTTAGGGGTATTTTTATTTTATTTTAAGTTTAAATGTGGTTTTTTAATGTCTGATAACTGGAACAGAAATAGGCGTAAATCACCGTTTCTAAAAATCCCCTAGTAAAGACATTGTCAACTATTGATGACGTGATGACCGCAATACTGTAATGCCGATATTTCGCTGTATATATTTGAATTTAACTTATCCGAGGGGAAAGCCTACCATCATCTTGCAGATTAACTTAGTTTTTTTAGTAGATGATATCATCTACTAAAAAAAACCAAGTTAATCTGCAAGATGATGGTAGGCTTTCCCCATGATGATGCTCCCGTCCGCGCTAACGATTTACGCTGGAGTGGCACCAGTGGAGGATGATAAGATGAGCATGAGGTCAGGTCATTTAGTCCATTCTGCCAAATCGAGCAGGAATTTATTTGTGATAAATTCCTGGTTTTCAGAGGGAACTGCGTGGAGGTCAACCAGACATGGTACATTGCTAGCAATGGGATCATTAGTCCACATTTCTAAGAATCCCCTTCCCCCTTAGATTGGTTTGTTATCGGTGCTTCCGGTGATGGAAACACCGATAACAAACCAAGTGTTTGTTATCGGACCGTCATTTGTAAATATAAATTGACACACCGCTCAACCGATTTATAACCTTTAGGGATTAAGTCGGGGTAGTAAATTCAGCCCTGACAGGCCCAAAGTTAATAATAATTTTATATATAAATTACAATAAGTTAATAATCGTTTCTATCAAATAATTCATTTCCACTAGAATTGAGGGCTAATAATGGGTTTCAACAGAGGCCAGTCGGCAATCATCCGCCGAGGGGTCGCAGGGTGACAATTAAGTTTCCTTTGACAGTCATATTGATTACGTGACCTATTACCAAGGGGGATGATCTTATTTAAATTTAATTTGCAATAACTTGTAGAGTCATTTTTGTTAACTACTAAACCGTCAATATCTTGAAATTTTAGTTTTAATTTACAATTGTTTGATATCATCATCATTACATAGTATAAAACTAAGTCGCTGTCTGTCCCTATTTATTCTTAAATCTTTAAAAGTACGCAACGGATTTTGATTTTTTTTTTAATAGATTGAGTTATTCAATCGAAAGGTTTAAATGTATGTACATGTACACCCATGCGAAGCCGGGGGGAGAAGCTAGTATAATGTGAAAGACAGTTTTTTTAAAGTTTAGTTTTGAAGACATGGCGTCCAACCCCGTCTTACGACCCAAGATTAACTTGGAGAAAAAATATTTCAAGGATAGTGATGTAACCTCTCTGGAAAATGCAATAAGATCTCTTGGAATCTTGGTGGGAGTATGTACGAATTATGAAACGTAAAATTGATCTGCAGGTAATAATGTTTCGGATATATAATAATAATAATAGAATATCCCTGGATTATTCACATAAAGACATTTAGTATCAATGTAAGTAGAGGTAGTTTTATGGTAGGTACAAATACTGTACAACTGATACAAATACCTACTTAGTTTTTTTTGGAAATACATGTGTACATAATATACATAGAAAACACACAGACCGATACTAACAATTTTATTTATGAATACAAATGTTTATATCTACCGTGCGAGGAATTGTACCCGCGACCATCAGAAGTAAAACGGTGTGCTAAACCGACAGACCTTCTCGGCTGATCTCATATAGTGTTGACAATGATGTAAATTGCCATCCAGTGATTAAGATAAAAAATATAACTCTGCTTGATATTTATAAACTTTTGTCATAATTTGATGACAAATTAGTATTTTTTTTATATTAAGTAATTTATAATATTATTCCGAAGAACAAAATTAATTAATGAAATTTGGTATTCATTATTGTTTGTTGAGAAAAAAAAGGTTTAAAACAGATAGCACCGCTTAAGAATGTATGTATGAAAATTTCAGCTGAACATTATGTCTGACCAACTTCTGAATAAATTCAGGACAAAATGTAGCCTGGACATAATTTAGAAAATACGATCGTTAATATAATATACAATGGTAACTTAATAAAAATGTGTGTAACTTTGTAAACGTGTGTTTTTAATTGTATAATACTTTATACAGATGTGTATAATATATCTATAGGTAAGTAGATACATTTCAATAAATAAAAACTTTCAAATTATCAATTAATTAATTACATAAGTAATTAAAAGGTATTATTTTTATCAAAATTAATAATGAAATACTTTGTATAATCATTTAATAAATATTTTTGTTTAACTACATTATGGATTTCATTTGCATAGGTTTAAAGTTAATCTGTTTGTGAACTGCAATCTGACTTTTTCCGCATTAATAATAAAGATTTTACAAAGAATTATATAATTTATTTATATTTAAATAAAGAAAAAGTATAGGTACTTAGGCGTATGTGGAAATGATTATTAAGAAAAATAATTTTCTTCCGTAAGATAAAAAGAAAAACTTCTACGTATACCTACTCATAAAATTAAAAAATATTTTATGGTAGGTATATTTAGAAAATATCTATAAAAAATAATACAGTCCTAAAAACAATAATAGTAACAAATATATAGGTAAATGATCTATAAAATACTGTTAGTCAATAAAACTGAGTTGACAAATTTGTACTTTAGAAATATCAAATAATAGGTATTGTTATAGAAGCAAAAATAAGATGCATAAAGTTTTCATCTTTTCTCAACCCAATTAAAAACAAACAAACTTTTTTTTACAGGATCAGTACCCGCGCCAAAATCTGTTAAAAAAAACTAACATACCTTTAGGCGTGACAACTCTGAAGGCGCTGTTGGAGACGGGCCGTGGCGACCCTTCCCTGATACCACCAGGTGAGCCGCTGCCACTCCGTACCATAGAAAAGTCTAGCGGCATCGGGGGCATTGCACTAACTTCCATTTTCAAAAATTAAAAAGTTACGTCCGCATAACCAAGCTCACTGTTCAAATTAAAAAGGAAACTTTTTAAAAACAAAATCGAATGTCAAATGGAATGCCGTTTGAATCGCGATTTGTCGCGAGGCGTGCGACCCGCGCGGGTATCGAGTATATATTAAGGCAGGCACACACTCTGGCCGCGTTCACTCGCTTTCTGGTCGCTAAAGCCGAAAATCTTGTGAATCTCCATACTGATTTGAACCTTATTGGTGTGGGCGTGGTGCTGGAGGCTCCGCCTCGGCGTGCCCAGCGCCGCCATGTGCCTCTCGAGTGACAATCACTTTGTATAGGTAACACAATAATATGGTTCGTGATGGATTTTATCGCGCCACCGATGCATTTGCTCGTGACAGTTTTTTTTTAATAAATTTTCGGTACTTTGCGTGGAGTTTTATTTGGAATGCTATTTTATAGGGAATATTATATATGAGTACTTAAATATTTTACTAATTTGATTATGTTGTGCAATTATACTTATATTTAGTTAGTGTCTAAATGTAATAGATATGTGTTATTGTTTAAAATATATACATTTTTAAACAACTGATTATAAATAAATATTGCATCTTCTGAATTACACTATTTTTAATTGGAGTTTCGTTAAGTATTATGTATTATAAAAAAAATAATTATAATATTCGTCATATTAATATTCTCATGTTCATAAATTAGGTCGACCGTTTTTTTTTGTTTATTGACGGCCTCGGTGATATAGTGGTTTAGCCTATCACTTTTCTTCCGATGGTGGTGGGTTCTTCGCAACAATTTTTCTCTTAAATACAAATATTTGTATTTAAGAATAAAATAGTTTTTGTATATATGTATTGTCTGGGTGTTTTCTAGGTATATTATATATGCATTTATAATACTTAGGTGTAAGTATATTAATATATTAATAAATAACAGAAAAGTGGTTTTGAAATAATCAACTAAATTTGGAATAATGTTGGTCCTAGTAGGTATAAAATGTTCCTGATTACTGATGTCATAAGTTAAAACTAAAGTATTTTTAGCCATGTAAGTTTCTACTATAACCTGGTTTCTACTGTTTACTATATTTGTATCTTCTATTAATTTAACAATATATATACATAGGTACATTAGTATGTGCATTCATTCTTAAATTCGCCAGATGGCGTTATTAACAAATCCTAAAACGAGTTTCAATTCTGAGGTATTGAAATTATGAGGATGAAATCAAGTCTATGAAATTCACGAACCATTCATTTATAAGATGAAGGCGAGACACGGCCAACAGTATTGGAATAGTTAAAAAAAAATATATTGAATGGCTCATATGGTAGGTATATGTTTTTTTTTTAATTTTATATCGATCTACTTTAAAAATAAATCATAAATGAGCGACCGTGCCTAGTCTATAATAAGCATAGTTTATTCTGAAATTAAAAGTAAAAAGATTTACCTACGATGTTTTCATACAAAAATAAATATTTATTAATACTTAATTAATTGTTATCTTAAGTTTACATTCAATGTATTTATATTGTAATATTATACAGTGATATTCATAGAAATAATTAATTATTGATAATAACATATTAATAAATAATATTATATTTATTTATACTCTCTTTACGGACCAGTGCCGGATTAAGCAAGCGTAGGGCCTTAACAAATTCTTTCAAATAATCTATACTTAGTTGAGTTTTAGTTCTAAAGTTGTTTTTTTAACTAAACACGCATAATTATTATTATACTGAGTTTTGTTTTTTGTACACAAACTAATAAAAATATTTCAAAGATAAAACAAAACTCTTTGTTAATATTTCTTTAATGTTTTATGTTTTCTCGGGGCCCCTTAATGCTAAGAGCCCGTAACTTGGTAGCATTGGTTATTTTTGTTACCTGACTAATATGGCACAGACTACTTAGCGCACAGACTTATTTATTCTCTACCTGTTATTTTTTTTATTTTGTGTAACCAGGTGTTAACCAAGTGTTTGCATTTATTTCCAGTGGCATTTTTTTTTTTATTATACAATTAATACAATATAAACTAACCGTTAACTGCCAACACGTTTATATCTTTACACTATTATACCTACTTAACTATATAAAGAGAGGTGCATTTAAATTTTATTTATTAGAGAAGGCAAGGCTGTCTACTTTGGACCTTACCCAAAAATGAGTTCAAGAGGTGCAACACATGAACAGTGGGACACAATCCTGACATACTGATTAAAAATACTAAAATAGGGCGTGCATTTCGATCGTTGACACAACTGTACCGGCAGATGACGTCCGACGAATTAACCCGCTCCCCCTCCCGCCCCCGCCCCGCACTCGCCCCCGCTGCCCCCGGAGCGCGGCGCCGGCGTCACGTACTGACATTTAAAACAATGAACGCTTCAATTTTTCACCGGCAGTCCCCGAAACTCGGCGGATACTTGCTAATCCGGCCCTGTCACTCTGCAGTGTTATTCTGTGAGAATTTTGTCAAAAGGCAAATGCATAGATTATTTTTAATAGATTATTATAGAATGTTGCACTCAAGCAAATGCATTGTTTTAATAGAATGGTGCCCTCGTAACTAACGGTTTACGCTGGCAGGGATAGTGGAGGATGATAGGGTGAGATGAGGGCAGATCAGATGGCCAATTGCGACGAATTCACTAGGATGTATCACGATGGTTTCCAGGGAGAATCGTGCCTAGATCAACATTGCGATGGAGTCATTAATTCATTAACCATCCCTCTCATTTCCCTCCAATTTATCGATTATGTTCAAGTTAATTATTATAACCGACTTTAAAAAAGTATGTAGGTACCTACTTACCTATAGGGTTCAGAGTTTAAGACTAACTGATTTCAATTCACTTCGATTAAAATCACAAATATTTTAGTCACAACTATTTTATCTGTACATTCAGTATGACGAAAAAAAAGTTATTCAAACCACCTGGTGGTGATACCACCTATATAAATCAACAGCGCTGGCCATCAAATTCGAAAGAAAATATATAACCTATGTATTTCTATCGATTGTCTAGTACACATAACATAAGCTTTAGCTAGCTTAACTTGGGTTTAGTTGGTGCTGTGTGAATTGTCTTGAGATTTTTTTTTCCCGGCTTTCATCGGTATTTTTGCTACGTAATGTGTTAGTTTAATTGCCTAAGCCAACTATTATTAATATTATTATCCTCAATAATTCAGTTTTTGCTAGTTTTTATTATTCTTATTATATTAATCACCTGTAAAAACCATAAAAAAGTACCTATGAACCCATCAAGCTACCAGAATAAGGACATTGGCTTGCTTTTGCGAAACTAATTACACCCCCGCTTCGCAATGATAAAGCAAAGCCGTCGTATAGGATATTTTTATTCGGGACAAAATGAAATTCCCGTGTATCACACCCTTACGGCATATTATACTCTATGACTTCGGTTAAACAGTTCATTTTCGCACAGCAGATTTTCGCCGTCGACAGTGTTACGGAAAAATTTTTAGTAGATACCCAGCAAAAATAATCCTGGCATAATCTCGCCGGGTAAATCCCATTATTTTGATCATCCCCTCGATTGTACACGCATACCGGAATAGCCAGGTTTCATTTGTACAATGGAGTAATTTTTATAGCAGCGAAATAAACAATAATAAACAAAAGGTCTCATATATACCCTATAGGTAGGTCACATGACTATAGACTAACGGGGCCATACGTCCCGTTATAAACGGGACTGTCCCTTTTTAGAATTACGAATGTGTCCCCAAAACGAAATCTGGGACGCAAAATTGTTTCGTTTTTGGAAACTCCGCGAAAATTTGTGTAATCGAGCGGGACGGTTGTGATGTAGATTATTGTTAATAATTAAAGTGAATAGGTGTAAAAAACGTGCCAAGACTTTTAGTCTTCCTATAATATTATCTTATCTGTGGTCTTACTTAAAAGCTTCACTAGCTATATTAAAGCAAATTTGTTCAACAGATAATACTTAACTTTTAAGTTAATTTTTTCTGAATTAAAAGCTTTAAGAAATTGTTTCTTTCATTGACTGACACTTTATTTATATTGTTAATAGATACTCATTTATTTCTTAAATGTATGTCTGCATTGTTTTTAGTTCCATGCTATATACTCAGTCTATTTGTTTCACTTGATATGAATAAAGATTTTATTTATCTGCTAACTGACCCATCGAACGTTAAAAAAAATGGCTTGTATATAATTTATATTGCCGAATCATATTTATAAAAAATAAAACAAAACCTTTTTACAAAAAATAAAAAAGATCATTTGAAATGGACCACCATTATCATTTAGAAGTATGAAGATAAATTTACATCCTATTCTCAGAGCTACTGAATATATATGCAAAATTTTATAAAAGTCGGTCAAGCCGTATCGGATGAGTTTTATCACAAACACTGTGACATGAGAATTTTATATACCTATTAGATTTATATATTATCCTGGGACTGACAAAAAAGCGAACGACGCAAATAAATGGAAGTAATCAAATATTATGCGGACGAAGTCGAGGGCATTATATAGCTAGGCAGGTAGTAAAATATCCGTCACACAACGACTTGCGTAATCTCACATTCATTTTAATATGTTTTAAAATTCAAGAGATCAAAGGTCATTTACACACGAATGGCCACTCAAAACTGAGTGTCGGAAACACGGGGCAATTTTGTTAAAGCTATAAACGCAGAGAGCTTATTAAACGCATTTTGGTGATCACGGCTCACGCTTTCCAGCTACCGGCACAGTGTTATTGTGTGTTCGTTTTTGTTTAAAATAATAAAACTGAAAGAGACACTGTAAATATTGATTTCATCATACACGTTATGTGATCGATTATTTTTATATAATTGAAGACACTTTCCAGTTACAACACAGTGTTGTAGTGTGTTTATTGAAGACGCTTTCTATCTACCGACATAGGTAGAGACATTTTGTTATGTTTTTTTCTAAAATGATCAAATTAAAGAGACATGGTATTTTTTTAAACTTTTATGTTGTTTTTTTTCATCATCAAATTGAATGAGATACTGATTTTTTTAATCCTACATACATCACGTATCGATCTTTTTATGTATTTTATATTTAATTATACCCATGTTATGTATAATATCTAGCTAATTCTGAAT